CCAAAGAAAATTAAAGATGTACAGAGCTTTCTAGGATTATGTAATTTTTATAGAAAATTTATACATAACTTTGCATCAATAGCAAGACCGCTACATGAAGTTACAAGAAAGAAGATAGGGTTCAAATGGGGTTCTGAACAAAACAAAGCATTCAACATTCTTAAAGAAAAACTGGTTTCCGCACCTGTGCTACAGCATTTCAATCCAAATAAAGATACCATTTTGCACACCGACGCAGCAACATGTGGAATTGGGGCAGTACTTTTACAAGAAGACGACAAGGGAGAAGCACATCCAATAGCCTACATAAGCAGAAGTCTTTCAAATAGCGAGAAGAACTATTCAATTAGTGAATTAGAACTATTAGGCGTAGTGTGGGCATTGAGCTATCTGAGACACTTAATTTACGGCAGACCAGTAAAAATCGTCACTGACCATCATGCTCTTTGCTGGATGGACTCCATTAAGGAAAGTAACAGACGCTTGGCCAGGTGGGCACTAAAACTTGCAGAATTTGATTACACGGTTGTATATAAAAAAGGATCAACACATAGCGACGCCGACTGTATGTCCCGCAATCCAGTGCTTCAACCAGACTCCGAGGAAAAAGAAGAGCAAGAGGAGCTCCCCACATTCACACTAAAATCAGTGCAAACGGCTACATTACAGGAGAAAGACCCAAATCTAAAACAAATATTCAAAGCTATAAGAAACCCAGACGACCCAGAAATTAATATTGGCATCAGAAGAAGAGCAAAAAATTTTAGGATTGAAAAAGACTTACTCTATAAAATTAACAAGACAAAAAACGGCTTAGAAAAAGTATTAGTAGTACCAAAATCAATGAGAGAAGAAATTATGTGGGAGCTACATGCATCACCGACAAGTGGACACTTGGGACTGAGCAAAACAACGGACAAAATTAAAAACAGATTTTTTTGGGATGGAATGCTAAAGGACATCGAAAAGTACGTTAAGGGATGCCCAGATTGTCAAGCTAGAAAGGGGCAACCTTACAGAAAAACGCCAGGGATGTTACAACCAATACCGGTGGGAACAATTTTCGACAAAATCGGAATTGATCTTTTAGGCCCATTTAGAAGAAGCAGTAAAGGGAAAACAATGATAGTTGTAGTTACCGATTACGCCTCACGATATGCCATCACAGCTGCCCTACCGAATGGAAAAGCCGGACCAGTTGCAAATTTTTTACTAGAAAAAGTATTCTTAATACACGGGATGCCAAGAAATCTGCTCAGCGACAGAGGAAAAGTCTTTCAATCGGAATTAGTAAAGGAATTGGGAAAATTAATGGGAGTAAGAAGCCAATTTACAACCGCATACCATCCTTGTTGTAATGGTCTCACTGAAAGGCTAAATAAGACAATAGCTGACATATTATCCATGTATTGTAACACACAGCAAACAGACTGGTGTAGCTATCTACCATTTATAACATTTGCGTATAATACAGCAATACAGGACACAACGAGATTTAGCCCATTTATGTTAACATATGCAAGGGAACCCACACTACCAGCAAAAGCTGCATTGTTGGACGCTGACAACGAAACGGACGCTCTGCAAATTAGAGAAAAGGCACTCTTAATAAGAGCCATAGCAGTGGAAAATATACAGAAAAGACAAGGGAAAGATAAAGGGCGTTTTGATGAAAGACATAGAGAATTGGACTTTGAAGCTGGAGACAAAATTAAAGTGTTTATCCCAATCAGAAAGGTTGAAAGAAGTGAAAAGTTACTCTTAAGATGGTTTGGACCATACAAAGTAATTAGAAAAATGGGAGAAGTGAATTACGAGGTACAAAAGATTGGACACAGAAAAATGGATACGGTCCACGTGAGTAGGATGTTACCCTACTACGATCCATGGACAGAAGCTGCGCCTATTGAAGAAGGGCAGATGAGACAGATATAGCTGAAAACGCAGAATCTGAAGTTGATGAGGATGAAGAAGACGAAGAAAAAATTGAAGAAGAAATTGGAAGCAGTGAAGCAGAAAACGAGGAAGAAGAAGACTGATTATACAGATAAAACATAAGCAAAATTATGAAGTAGGGAAATAGGAAGTAGAGATAGGATGAAAAAATAGAGTAAACAAGGAGGGATGGAGAGGAATGACAGCTCAATATAAGAGGAAACTAGTGGATGACCTCATAATTCTAGGGGAAGATAGGGAATATGAATTAATGAAAGAAGAAGAATCAGAAATATTCTTATCGACGGAAGAAGCCTCCGAAAAGATTTTAGAAAAGTACGAGCTACAAAAAGAAGGCATATGGGTATAACAAAAAACAAGTTCGACTAAACTTACCTGTTGGAGCCATGATCAACAAATAACCAAATTATGAAATTTGGTAGCCCGATTGTGGGTCATAATTATTAAACTATGTAATTATAAGAATAAGCACATTTTTAAAAATATTATTTTGTTTTTTGCATGTATATACAAAACTACCAACCAGGGACGGACTACAAAACAAATTCGAGGGAAGGCATTGTAATAGAAGGACCTAGCTCTGGACTGAGCAGGGGCTAGGAACTTCAAACCAGAAGAAACAAATGGGTTTGGACCAAAAGTATACAGACCACAGTACCATTTCCACCATACTCACAAAAGAAATGATCAAGGATTACTTGGGCCGTGGAATCGCGTAAACCCACGACCCAGATGACCAAATCACCAGGAAGTACTTGGAGCCAGAACCAATCCACTTGAAAGACAGAATACAGCACAATGAACAAGAAAGAAGCATAACAAACCAGGAAACGACACTTAGACCGTGGGATCGATCACCCCACGATCTAGCTGACCTACCAGAAGTATTTGGAACCAGAACAGACCCACAATACAGAAAACAGGACCAGACCAAAAGAAAAAAATAAACCATGGCTGAAGCGGTGAAGCTGATGAAATTTCTTAGTTGTAAGCTATTTTTTTTTTGTAGTAACCTGAATAATAATGCACCCTCACCCATCCCACCATAAAAAACTTTTGTTAATTTGAATTTTTAATTTTTTTTCTCTATACACGATATTTGGATTGTATAATTGTTAAGCATCAGGGATATTTTATAATTAGGCTATTATTGTAAAGAAGGGATATTTTTAGGATAAGGATATTATTGTATTTTTTTTGACATTATTATGGTATTTGTATAAATTTTGTTGTAAGTGTCTCTTCCAAGCATTGGGGTCCAATGCTTCATGGAGGGGGGGCATATGTCAACTAGCTGCTTGGGAAAGGAGGACCCGGTATTTAACCTTATTAATTTAATTGCCGATTCGATTGGATGTTTATTGCAATTCAGCAATAAATTGATATAAATTGCGTTGCAAGCCGCAGCAAAGGCAGACTTAAACCAGTGCAAGTACCTCTCGTTGGAAAAGCCCCTCTGGAATTAAGTCTCCCCAGTGCAAGTACCTCTCGTTGGGAACGCCCCTCTGGGTATCTTCAGCCTTATCGTTGTCCAGTGCAATTACCTCTCGTTGGGAACGCCCCTCTGGACAAGGCATAAGGATGACGATAAACTAACCTACAGTCCCCCAAGCAGCATTGACGTGTGGCCCCCTATAAGGACCCCAGTGTACGAAGGGTCGTGTATCTTATAGGGTTAGCGTACATGTAAGGTTATATTTGGGAAAATATATATCTATATTTTTATATAACCTGAGCGAGTTTCTCTGCATCAACCCCCAAAGCTACAAACCCCCCATGTCACCCCCGTAAAGCGGGCAGTTGTGACACTATTATACAGTGTTCCCCATAATGTTCGCTACATATGGGGAAATTTTTTATTTGTAGGATATGGAAGTTTTTCTTATGTGCAATCGATCCTGCATGTCCGATAACCTAAAAGTACATTTTGACATTGGTCACGTGATCACTGTTATGGCGGCAAATTCGAAAATACGTCAATTTCAATTTTTTCAAAAGCATACAAAAATAGAAAATTCATGTGTCCCAGAGGAAAGTCAAGAAAGTGTTAATTTGAGAATTATAGTGCCAGAAGATTGTTTCTTATTTAGCCCATGGCAACTTTGACAATGAACTAATTCGATTTTCAAAAAAAAAAAAAAATACGCAGTTGTGACGAGAATCGAAATACTTTTAAAACAAGGTGTCACTCGACCCATCCCTATCTAAAAAAAGAGGGGTGAAAGTCAACCCAACCAGGGGGTGCACCTAAGTGAAATATGGATGGGGTCAAAAAATTTCCCCCTTGAATACAAAAATGACCTGTCCAAGCTAGGCCGTTATTTAAAATAGCGAAGTTGATGATCGGCGCTTTGGGACGGAACGTACAATTTGAAATGTAATAGTGTCATTTTGTAGAGGAAATACGAGTGCCAGTGATATTGTGCCATTTGTTTCAAAAAAGTAGTTCATATAGGCCAAGAAAAAATAAAAACGCTTCTTGGTTCAGTTTTTTCCGAATAACTGTCTAAGGCCCGATTTATTCAACTTCAGATAAACTTGCTGATAACTATCTGCAAGATAAATTTACCGTTCTATAATTCTATTGGTCGGCGGATAGTTGCCCGACCAATGGGATTACAGTTTGCGTTTTTATCCATCAGATTGCATAACTGACAGTTTATCAGAAGGTGAATAAACCGGCCCTGAGTGTTAGAAATTTATCAAATGGCAAAACAGCATCAAATTACGCAACTTTGGGCTAATTGCTAATTTCAACCTATCTCGCATTCAACTTGAAACAAGCTTAAAACGTTTGAATCTCAAGCAAGTCAACTTCGCTAACGATTTATTATTTCTTAAACCATTTGACACTGTTCTTGACTTATACATTTTTGTTGAAATTTGTGAACACAAAGTAATTCAAATGGTATTCAACTTTTATTGATCGTTCGTAAAAAGGCGCCTTAAGCAGTATTATCCACCTCTTGGGATTTCTACTTTGCAAAAAACTGCATTCTAATTCGACCATGACTGAGCTATTATTGAGTTTTATTTCAGTTTACCTTTCCGTACCGTAAACTTCTAGTATGCAAAGATAAAGTACCATCAACAAAAATACTTTGAACTTCTGCACTAATTAAGTCGCCTTCCTGAAGATACTGTCTCATACTGTGCTGATCTTGTAGCGATCTTTTCCTCTAAAAACAATTATTATTCATCTCAAAAAAATTCTCTATAGAAAGTCTACATACCAGCTCTCCCCCAGGTAAGTTAACTGACGATATCAATAAGGCTGAGTCCAGTCTAGCATTAGTATCTACCTTCCAACGTTTCTGTTGCACTTCCATTATTCTGCCCACCAAAACCTCACCCACTTGGCCATCATAGCGACTTTTCAATGGTCTTACTGAAATTAGTTTATTAACTTGTTCCTTCACACCTGCCACTGAAGCTTTTAAATCGCCATCTTCTTCATATGTGCCATGTCCTCTAGAATTTCAAAACTGTTTCAATAAGGCTCATATAGAAATGATTGAGAAACAATATACAGGTCTGGCAAGTTAGCATCTTACGGGCCAATTTTCATGCAACAGAATGAAATGTCTAGAAAAAGTCTAAAGTTAGAGAATAAAAACGATTTCCCTTGTTCCACCTCCAGCATGCATTGCTGGGAATGCTGGAGGTGAAACATGGGAAATCATTTTCGGACTTTTTTTAGACATGTTATTCTATTGCATTAAAACTGGCCTCTAAGACCAGTATGTATACCTACTAAAGCAAGACCTTGCTGATAATAAATGAGTAGAAGGAAAGATGATTATGTGATCATTGGCAAAATCTAAATTCAGGATTTTTTTACTTTAGAATTAACTAGGTATTATACAAATAAAGTAATTCAAGTACTTATGTATTATGAGGATCAAATGCCAGAGAAAAGTTACAGCTATATTTGTCACTATTTATGGTTAGAGCTATAATATACTCGATTTTATCAAAATATTTTGAATACCTAATACTATAGTATTTTAAATTCTTGTAGATTTGTTGCAAAAATTAACCTTATGTTATATTTTATCTGCCGGAGTGTGTGTAAACGCCAAGCACAGCAACACGAATTAAATCCATAGAAAGCACATAAAAACTATTAACTGGTGTGAAGTTAGCAGCCAAATGTTGGAGTAATTTTCCTGAAGATTGCCGAGATATCCCAATAATCCTCAAACACTGATGAATGCTCCATGCGCCATTGAACTTGCAGGGTAGAAACAGGTCTGATGAAACTGAACTTTAGGGGACAAAACATTTACTTGGAAAGGGTGCTTCAATTTCTCTGCTCTGGCTGTTATCCTAAAATTCTGGTTTCCTCAAAAACGTGTATAACTAACTTTTAAACTTGTAAAGTAAAAAGAGTTCTAATAAAGTGATACTAAGCCACTAAGGACATAAAACATTTACTTGGGGAATGGGTCCTTCAATTCTGACTATTGTGTTAAAAGTATGAATTTCTCAAAAACTACATATAATATGTATACCTAGTAAAATACCTCCAGTAACACTTTTAAACTTGCAGAGCAGAAAAATTCTAATAAAATTAGATTTTAGAATACAAATCCATGTATGTACTGAAAAAGGATCTTTTATAAAGTTTGTGAGGCTTTTGCGACTCAGGTTTATTGATAAGGGGTTTTCAACTTACGACAGCCATTAAGCCCAAATGAAAAAGCCTTATCAAGGATCTTTTAATTTCTCAGCTGTGGAATTTTTGAGAAATCCAGATTTCAAGAATAGGAGCCAGAACTGGGAAATTGAAAAACTTTTTCAAGTAATTATTTCTTATTTCATGCCCTATCTAGCTTTATCAGAACTCTCTCTACCCTGCAAGTTTGAAAGTTTTACAGTGTGTAGTTTTTCAGCAACCCAGACACCAGACAGGATAGCAGCCATGATGTGGAAGTTTTACTCTTGGTGCATCAGTGGGTAAATTTTGTAAATTAATTACAAGTTTGAGGTTTGGTGGTGAATGATTTAATGAACGCTGTGTCTAGCCTCCTGGCACCGGTATTCATACGAATCCCGGTTATGGCGCGTTTTAAATGACGTTATCAACAACCACCGGTAACTGTCATGGATCCCGGCTATTGCTATACAAGATGTTAATAGTTATTGTTCATTGGTATTGGGGCAGATTTATTATGAAAAGTAAAAAAAGTAAACAAAGTCGGACGTGATAGGCTTTTATTAATGGAAAATAAAATTATGACTTTTTATTATATGTAGGTACAGGGTCATTTTGGAAGTTTGTTCAGCATTTGATCTTGTACAGCAACGCCGGGCCGTTAATGTTCAGCAACATTACACAGGGTGCCCCAAAATTAGAGGTTAATATTTTAACTGCGGATTCTACATCTCAAATTAAGAGCAAAAATTCCTATAAACATGGGTCCAAGAATACCCTATTTCAGAGATACAGTATGTTATAAAGGCTATAGTCCTGAATAATGAATGAAAATAAACCATACTATTCCCTTTTTAAACCACTACTACGAAAAGTGGATTAACGAAGTACTTACCACTCTAATACCAATATCACAACAATAATACACAAAAGCTATTCTGGAATTAATCACAGCTTCAAGCAGCAAGAGAAACACGATTTTGAATTTTGAATCCAATAGCCGGGACCCACGATAAATCCCGGCGGTCGTTGATGGAGTCATCGAAAACGCGTCGTAACCGGGATTCGTATGAATACCGTTTAACGCATCCGCAACAATAAGTAGACAGAGACAAATATGGCTTTAACTTTTTCTTAGCATTTGCACTTAGGTAGGTAAGTAGGTACCTACCCAAAATACTTTTTTGAACGCTAAACAAGTTACTTCAATTAAAGTGTTGGATAAACTGATATTCATATCAGTGAAACAAAAATTAATAAATTAAACTTTGATTATTAGTCTATACTTTGCTAATTTATATCGCAGCTATGGATGACTGAATGTTTTTATAATAGTTTTTATATGTAAGGTAAACAGATGAGGAATCGTTTACTTAAGAAAGAGTTTGTAATTCTTTGGGCGGTTACACATGGACGTGGATGTCTTAATACATATACGTGCATACATCAACTTGCAACCAAGAACGTGCATGGCGCTTTTGTACACACGCTCGTACAAAACTGCAGTCTTGCTATTCTTGCTACAGTGTTCCGAGTGTGCATACAAAATTGCACATTCAAAAACGCGACGATATTTTGTATACACATTGATGTTTTTGTTTGCACGTTCATGTATGTGCGTAAATGTTTTCAGACATCCACGTCCGTGTGTAACCGCCTTTTGTCTTGATGTTGAGTCAGTTCCTATAGTTATTTCAATGAGTTCACACGCTCTGCTTTCCACGCTGTGTTCGATATAATAAATATATTGAATATCGATAATTAACAAGTTCTTT